GATTATAAAATGGGTTATTGATTGCATCGACTGGAGATTTCAGTAAGATTCTACAGGTGCTGAGCCCTAAGGACAGAAAATGATGGTATAAAAATAACCTGCTTGAGTCCGAGATTTGAGAGGTCACACTGCTATTGATGACAGCAGAGTCTACAGTCTGAACCAAGGAGGAGATGACCAAGGTGGGCTAGAGGAAAAGGTCACCAAATGTGAGTTGGTCAAGGAATCAGGAAGCTAGAGCACAGACTTCCTAGTTTTCATGAGAGCACAGGACTGTAAAAATGACCACAGAAGCTGAGACCATGCAAAGTGATCTTAATAATTTGTAAAACTCCCTTACTCCCAATTATAAATGTACAGAGAATTTTTTTAAATTGTAAAACTAATGTTTAGTACACCATAAATCCAAAAAACACTGAGAATTAGTGCTTTATTTCTGTGTAAAATCTTTATCAAGAGTAGTTTGAACGGTGCTTGCCTTCCACTATCACTTACCTTTTTTGTGCCTTGATAAATTGTCATATTCCTTCCAGCATTTGATGTTTTGCGTTTTCAGTGTTGTAAAATACCTCCAAGTGTCCTTAACGTGAAGTTGTTATCAGTGTCTCTTCATCCTTTGTCACAACCACCTGCTCTAACTGATCTGTGCAATCTGGGTGCAGGTTTCCCAGCAGCGCCTGGTCTGGCCCAGCAGCTTAACCAGAACTCAACACTAACCAACCCCATGGGTCTCTGAAAGGATGCAACCAGACTTCACTGCAGTAAAAGCTTGCTTTTCAGTCTCTCTGTAATTAAGTTTTCTTTCGACATGATAACTAACGTGGACATTTGGCCTGAATGCTAGCCACACCCACTGGGATTTGTCATTATTATGACTGTCTTCTACCAAGTCTGGTTGACCACAAGCAGTTTTCTGTCTCTAGAGCAGTTTAAAAGATGTTGATCCAACGTTACCATGCTCTTTCTCCTTGTTGGATGGTACCTTCATGCAGGCTGAGGTTTCATCGTCTCAGCTTCACTCTTGTCATTTTTAAATTTCCTAATCACATCCAATTTCATTTGCAGCTCATTTATTTCTTTGATGCACTTTCAACTTTTTTGTCAAACTTTGTAAAACAAAAGTCTAATGTAAAACGGAATTTTCTTTTTATGGTCCATTTTTGTGAAACATCCTGTGGGTCTGTCTCTGGGAGACAAGGAGGCAACACAGCTGCACACTTTGCTGTCTGTGTTGTGGCCGAAGCACTGAATAACTGGGGTGCAGTGGCCGATCCCCGACGGGCCTTGAGAGGAGGACCAGGATGCGTGGGGGTCATCGGTGTGGTGATCTGTGGGCTGAGCACTGGCTGTGCGGTCTGTCCTTGATGTACTTGCTGTCAGTGTAGCAGAGTAGTTGAAATTTGAGTCATGCTGTTGGGGGACTGGTGTTTACTAGACCGTGGCAATCAAAATTTGTTCATACCAGAACCGTGCCCACGTGGGGACTGCCTTACTGGACAGTTATCTGTATGGATATCAAAGTCACAAAGAATGGTAGCAGGAGTCAATGGAGATGGGGGCTGGGGTCCCCTAGCTCGTCTTCACGTAATGAGAAGGAACAAGCCAGGGGCCGTGGGCAGTGGCGGCACACAGACATGAAGAGGTGTGAGTCCACACCGCGTGCTTTGCCAGGAGTTGGGAGTGTTTAAGGCCCGAGGGGTTGCATTAGGGACTGAGAGGAAAAACAGCTTTTGCTTGAGGGGCTGTAGTGGGCCTGTGCGAACGAACCTGGTGTCCTCTTGGACAAACCCACCATGATGACCACTCTGTGACCTTCTGGAGCACAGCCCCCACCCCAGGCTGTGCTTCTGTTTAAGCGCACCCTGTTTAGCCACACTCTCGGGGCCTGACGGGCTTGCTCTGCCCTAGAGATAGGACTATGACACACAGCGATTCTTCACCATTCTCCCCTCCCCGGCCCCCCACAGGTATGCCCACCCTCCAGGGCTGAAAAAGCAGGTCTTAGGGAAGGTGGGGTTTTAGAGATCTACGCATCACTGCCGCCTGAGACCCGCTTCTGTCTGCAAGTCCCCGTAACAAACCACTTCTCCTCAGGCTGGACCTGGCCTTTTTCTTTGCTCTTACGGTTCCTTTGGAGGGTGCTTTGCATGTACCTACCTTTCAGAGAACAGGGACTCTTCTGTGGGGACAAGCCAAGTCCTTGTTAAGGAAAGAGACTCAAAATACATCTGGAGGAGAGGTTGGGAATATAGAGGAGGGTTGTGGGGCCTGCAGAGGAAGGTCACCAACCTGACCTGAAAAGCTCTGAGGGGCAGGAAGTCAGATCAGGGATGCACAGATTTCTCCAACGGCTGAAGCAAACATCTGCGTCATATCTTATGTGATTCGTCCTTACGATTCCTTAAGGACACTGGGAAATTGGTTCAGGATGGTCCTGTGGCTTCTGCAGGCTCACAGTGAAGCGGCTGCCACGGCGGAGCAAGAAGACATGGCTGATTGCAGGGCAGAGGCTCTCTTGGTACAAGCCTCCACACAACTTGGAGGAGGAGAGGCGGGAAGGGGTCTTTGTGGTGGGAGGGAGACCCAAACAGAAACATGCAGGAGACTGGATGAAAGTACAAAGGAGGGCATCGAAGGTGACTGATGACAGGGGAGGTCAAGTGGGGGCAGCAGTAAGAAGTACTGCTGGGTTAGAGATGTTCACATGCACCTGGAATCCATCAAACCTCGAAAAATGGCAGTTCTCTTCCCTGGAGAATCAGACCCGTAAGAGTAAGCAGAAGAGTTTAACTCAGAAGACGACCGAGGACTGAGAGGACCTGGGCCAGGGGGTGACATGACCTGGGTCATGCCTTCCAGACGGACGCACCACCAATGTTCTGTGGGAGGCAAAGAAGGGTGTGCTCCCCATTCCTCCCGAGGCGCGCTCGCCACAATGGAAGCCTGCTGAGGCAAGGGCCCTGCTCCACACCCTGCGCCTCACAGTGCCTGGGACATGGTGCACACAGAGTGTGGCCGAACAAAACAGCTAAACTAACACACGGATGAAAGGGGCACTGCAGCAAAGCCAGACAAGACTTGGCGGTGGAGGAAAGGGGAGGATTTGAGTCACTTGTATGGAATTCAACAACGAAGTGTGTACGGGGTTGGGGAAAGCAAGAGAAAGAGCAGAGCGGAAACGTACTTCCGAGACCTCAAATCAGGTAATACCAGCAGGTCACACTTTAGGACGTAGGAAGGTCCAGGGCTCTGTGAAGTGCTGGGCACAAGTGCTCGGTTATTTACTACGTCACATAATTCACACGCTAGCCTTAGGAGGTCTCATTCTCACCTTATAAACAGTTCTAGGAGGCCATAGGCTTTACAGCTAATGAATCCTGCAAGTTCAGCAGGAAGGTGCGTTGCTTAACATGAGCTGTTGCACAGGCTTGCTACCACTTTTTTGGCGGCCACAGATCACAACTGAGAACTCCCATGTTGAAGATTCTTTGGGCAACAATGACCGTGTTTATGCTGCGCAGCATGGACTTGTTTGTCCTGGATTATCCAGCTCATGATAACACATAAGTGAAAAGAAAACTCTCCTCGACCTTTCTACATTCCAGTCTTTGGACTATTCAACTAATGGCCATTTTAACCATCCATTAAGTTTGACATGGCTTTCCAAGTTCTGATTACAACTCATCTGATCACAGACATTACTGGTTGCCTCCTCCAAGCCCACCCCCTGATTCCTTGCTGGAAGACCTCTGACTGATAGTCATGTCTACTCTTTTCATGTGGCCATGTGCTCCAACAAAGGGGGGATGCAGCCCCAGCCCCAAGGAGTGAACTATGACCCGTCTAGTCATAGACAGGACAGGAACGTGATTAAATCAAGTTAAACAAATGTTTGTAAAAGTCTGGCGGGGGAAGGGGAAAGACAGAAAAAACCTGGGTCCCTGATCAAATGCCTGGAAAACAAAATTCTGTTTTTAAAAAACAAAACTAAACAAAAAAACCCCACTGGTTTAGCTTTTTCAGTTCTTGCACCTAAAAAGAATTTAACTAACAGAATAACAAAAAGAATGACCACACGTTAAGCATTTTGATTGGTTAGGGATGTGTTAAATACATTAATGTCTTTATTTCAAACTTGGTAATTTCTTTCCAAAGAATGCCTACAACGTATTAAAATGCCATTTAAAGATATAACTGCCTTTAGAAGTTTTCCAAAATCTATTTTAACATTTACTCGACACTTTACAAGGTTGTGTCATAATTTCCTGTAGTAAATTCTAATTGTCTTAACTCTAAAAAGAATGATAAGTAATTTCCCTATATTAGCACCCACTATAAGCATTTATATACTCTATCTATCCTTACATGTATCGTACATACATTTATACTTTGGGGTCATAGAACGTTAATAAATATGATAACTAGTAAGTATGAAGCTAAAAATCTGGCTTTTACTTGTTTGTTGTTAAAAGAATACAGTCTTCAGCTGGAGGCCAAACCACAGCTAACCACTATGAGGTTTGCAAATCTTCAAAGTCACAGATCTCGGTAAAGTTGAGAAGCAAGCACTCCTATAACTTGTAATGAGCTATTCACAATAGAGAGCAAACACCAGGGCCAAGGCGACGTACGTTTCCGTTTCCTGTTTCGCCGCAACCCAGCTGTCCCATGCAACATCCCAGATCCATCTGCTGGCAATCTGTGATACACAAATTTCAAAAGACCAACTTTAAATTGAACATGTTAAGAAGTAAACTTTAAGTCTATACAGTATCTCAGAAAGTCATATTTAGAAAGTAGTTTGTCCAATCCCCCCTTTCCTGAAAGGGCCCCTCTTCTCTTCCTGGAGTGATCCTTCTCTGACACAGGGACTGGACCTTAGCAGAGTGTCTGCGAGCAGAGCCAGGAACCCTCTGTAACTGGGTCTAAGAGTTCTGCATACAGTACTACTCTGCTGTGTTACACTCCCTGATATGGAATTCTCCTTTCCATCCTTAAAATATGTTCAAGGGAAAGTTTATTAGAACTTTGTTTTGAAATAAAGAAATGGCATTGATTATCCAAGCAGACCATTATAGAAAATTCTAAATCCTTTGCTTCGCTCACAAAGCCATACGTGATTTGAGTACAGCCTACTTTTCCATGGTGGATATAAATGGCCACAAACCTGTTGTGGTTTCTCCCAAGAGGGTGAGTCTATTTCTCTAGCCCTTGAGTATGAATTGGTCTTGGGACTTGCTCTGAGCAAAAGAATGGGACATTGTGTGACTTCCAAGCAAAGCCTTCAGAGGTCTTCTGCTCCCACCTGCTCAGAATGCTCTGAGGAGACCCCCACATAAGGAAAGCCACTCAGCCCACCAGAAGATGGTGGCTCACGTGCAGGAGAACCCGGGAGCCCCAGCCAACAGCGAGCAGCAGCCACCAGACACGTGAGCGAGGCCATGTGGGACGGCAAGTGTGTCAGGGAGACCAGCAGGAGAAGCCGCTGCTGTAGTTTGGCTGGCCCACAGAATGATGACAGATAAACGGCTGTCGTTCTGCGCTGCTAAGCTGTGGGGTGGTTTGTTGTACGATAGTTACCCATGTGCGCTACCGAAATATATGGCAAGCACACAGGTTAGTAACCAAGCACGCCAGTTCCCCGCTGCCGCGGCATCTTTCCACTCCTGCGTTCTCCGGTTGCCAGTCCCTCTCCCCGGTCTCTGGCACAGCTGGTTTCTTCGTGATGTTCAGATATCAGAGGGCCTTCCCTGGCTCCAGACAGTCCCAGGGGCCACTCTGCCATACTCTAATCTCCTCCACGTGAGAAGTATGTGCTGGTGTTCTCTTCTCCCTGGGCGCCAAGGTCACCTCCGTCTTGTTGACTCTAGTGTGGCCAGCAGCCCTCTGCCTGCTTCGGCGAAGACTGCAGACCGTGACCAGCTGCGATGTGTTGACGGGCAGCTCACTCCAGCTCACAGGGTCTAGTGTATTCATATTTGTAAATGACCGCGATTGCCTTGCTGCTGACTGAGGCCTCTATGCCAGAGACCACGTGGAGGGCTTTCTTACAGACCCATTCATTTAGCCCTCAGGGTAGCTGTGGCCCTTAGGTGTACCATCTCCGTTTTACAGATGAAAACAGCCATGCCCCGGCCGCAGGCTCCGACTGTCGCTGCCAGCATTCCCGTCTAGGTCAGCTGGACTCGGAAACCTAAGCTGTACCACTGTCCATCCCATTCCATTTCTTAAACGCTGGCCTGCATTGTTTTCTTTCCTCAAGTAAAAACTCTCGGAGAATCATGGTCTGCGTCTCCCCATTTTCTTTTTCTCAGTACCTAACCTAACTCCCATTAGTGCTCAAAATAAATTTACTGGTTAATTATCAAATGACATTCAATTGTCAAAATTAGTGTGATCATGGAATAGGATAGCTATATAGTTTAATAAATTATCAATAGAAAATTGCCATTTCTGGGGGTGCCTGGGTGGCTCAGTTGGTTAAGCGACTGCCTTCGGCTCAGGTCATGATCCTGGAGTCCCGGGATCGAGTCCCACATCAGGCTCCCTGCTCGGCGGGGAGTCTGCTTCTCCCTCTGACCCTCCCCCCTCTCATGTGCTCTCTCTCTCTCATTCTTGCTCTCTCAAATGAATAAACAAATAAATAAAATCTTTAAAAAAAAATTGCCATTTCTGGGTTAGTACTTTTCAAATAAGAGGCACTGAAGGAAGATATAGTTAACAAAACCATCCTTTGTCAGAGAGGCACCTGGGGGCCGTGGAGGCCGGTGGCACAGGAACTCTCAGGTCACTAGAGGGGACACCGTGGAGCACTGCCTGGTAGATGCTGGGTCAGTGTGGTACTCACATTTATCGCCTGACCAGTCTTTTGAATAAATAATACTTTTATAATGAACTTGTAACGGTGATACCCAAATTCTTTCACTGCTGACAAGATGCGGTCTGCTAACTCAAGTGACAAATGAGAGAAGACTTTATCATCATATTTGACATCTTTAAGACTTTCCTTTAAAAAAATAGGAAAAACATTTTAATTTTCAAACCAAATATTTTCTACATAAAAATTCAAGAAAACATGTATCTAAATAATACATAACTTTAAAAAAATAGATGCATTCCTAACCAAATAGTATTAAATGAATGTTGAGCTTATCAATTTATTTCAATAAGAATGCTGAATAAAGTTTATTTGGTTTTTAATTACATTCAATTGCTCTTACCAACCCTTAACCAGTTAAGTTTTCCTTTCAAACAGCTAGTGGGGAGACACAGGGGAATTTTAAAACAAGGCTTCTGGGAATGCTTAGGTAGATGAAGGAAATCTTTCTCTAATTTCCATATTTGCTAAAACTCAGACTTGCGTTTTCCTAAAGCCTGGGTTTCCTGGACGGGAGCCTGTTTTATGTGACTCCTGTCTTCCCCAGTGTCCTTGAATTAAAGCCACTTCTCTAGCTGCTCTCTCTGTGGACTCCAGGGGGACGCTGAGGAGATCCAAGGTTTCCCGCCATGTCTGCTGTGGATTAATCACAGCTGGGGAGACAGATGTGAGTCATGAGGCACTAGGCTTTTCCACAGCCCATAAGCAGACTGGACCACCTAATGAGCAGACTGCAGGTACCTTTGACTTACCTGGACAATGATGAATTAATGTGGTTCTGGGTCCTGCGATAACAAATGAGCTCCTACCAGCTAATTTTATAGACATGTAAAACCAAATAGATTGCTCTGTTTTTTTTGTTTTGTTTTGATTCCCTTCTAGAATGGTGCTGGACCTAAAACTGGGTCTAGAAGCATTTGTTTCCCTCAGGCATTGGCTGTGTTTCTGTCTTTCAGACATTTAGCAACATCCACTGTCTCTTCTGAATCTGCCTAACAGACCTCAGGCTTTGCCCACCCACATGCTCTTATTTAACAAATAATGAGTGCTTGCTATAGGAAGACACCCACAAGCTCCAGCAGTGTATACTATTTCTGCACCCAGAACTATGTTGAATTTTCCGTGAACCCAAGCGAAAATCCCTGGCCTCTTTATGACACCTAGCTATCCACCTACATATCCAATCAGCTGTTCCAGGCCCCATCACACTCAATTCTGTAAATTATCATATGTAAATACAATTTGAAATTCTACTATATCCAATAAATCCAAACTCAGTCTATGTGGTAAGACCAAGTAAGAGACGCACCAAATGTATATTCTCATGTCACAAATGCTTGCTGTTACTGTTTAAGAGAAGAAGGTAATCAATAATTATTTTATTGTATTAAATTGAGCTGAATTTATTTCCTGAAGCCATGACAATGATTAGTTCAGCTTAGAAATGTATCTGTCTATGGTAGTAGAGGGAGGCTAGAGTAGGCCTCCTAAATATTCTTTTGTATTAATAAAAGTTAATTCATTTAAATAATTAACTTTGATATGATTAAAAGAGTATTAATCATTTATACAAAATAAATTAAAGAGATGCTTTCTTCCCAACACCTAGCTCACATCAGTAGTTACTGAGAGAATGCACCTTGTAAACTGAAGGGGAGGGAACTTTGAAACCAGAAACGTATCTGGGGTAGACTCAAGCTTGGTGGAGTCCCACAGGGGAATGTGGCCATCAGAAAACGCCTGGGTGCCTGGGGCCCAGTAGTAGAGACCACAGATGAAAAGGTGATTCAGAAAAAGTGGTCCCTCAAATTTTCTATAAATAAAAAACTTTAATTTTGTCCTTTAAGAAGGATGATGAAGGAATTCTTTCCATCTGAACAATGTAGGCTTCAGATACCAACACTAGTATAAATAATGTTGGTATTAACATTAGTCTTACAGTATTTTATAAAATTGAAGAAGCTTTTTTGGACTAGCCTGGAAACAACTGTCTTAAATGACCTTCAGATTCCAGTCACAGTTTAAGGAAGGGGACCAGTGCCTGTGTTGGTAGTTGCCTGCCCTTAAATGCTTTAGCGTCCAGGGACCACCTTTTCACACCCATATACAGATACAGTGTGTTTTATTTAACTCATTCCTCCAAATATGGGAAAACATGAAACCTGAGGGATAAATAATTTATGGATAATTACGGGTTAATGGTTGAAATAAAAGAATTAAATCTAGCTCACAGCATCAATGTGAAATATATTTGAGTATGACTACAAAAGTACTTCCATATTTTCAGAGATAAATGCTAAAAAAAATCAATGAAATATATGGCCATAAATCTTAATACAGTTTATCAAATCCCCAAAGCTAAGATATTGCTATCATATGTATTTATCAACCTACCTTTAATATCTGCTGGACTTTAGTTTCTACTGAATGAGCTTGGAATTTTTTCAATGGCTCCATTCTATATGAATTAGCAAACTTTAATTTTGCCAGGGCACTCTTCCATTCTTTACCTAGATCAGCAATTGAATCATCAAATGGAGGCTCTACATATTGAACATCATGAATCGATTCTCTCAGTCTTTCTCTTAAAATCTGTGTATACTGAAACAGGGGGGAAGGAAAAGAGAAAGAGATCACTTTTTTAATTGTAACCCTGCTACAATGGGACAGAGCTGACACAAAGTTTGGAAATCCATTCTAATTGATAAAGAAGTTGCTGAATCCTAGATTTCAGTGATTCACTCCTGGCTATCAATTGGGTAAAAGAAAAAAAAGTCTATCTAGCTAGAAATCATCTATTTATCTATGAACACAAATTTGCATACGTATATTTAAAATATCCATGGAAGATACAAAAGAACCAGAAACAAGAGAGGCCTCCAGAGAGGGCAACTGGGTGGCTAGGAGACAGGTATGTAAAGAAAACTTTCTGGTTCTCCACCCTGAGGTTACGAAAATATTATCCTTCATTGTGTTCTTACAATTTTATTTACTTTTGTCTTTGAGTAAATAATACCACTATTTACATAAGTATTTACATAAATAACATTACATAAGTCTTAAGTTGAAAAGATAACTAAAGTGTATTGATCTGGTACATACATTATTTTATGGTTTTGAGATTCAACATTCATTCTGTGACATTCAACACTCCTTAAAGAAATATTTATTTGGTGCCTAATATGGTCCAGATAAATGTTCTAGACTCTGAAGTTACAGTGGTGAGCTTCGTTGTAATAGCTAGGGATTGTTTGGCTTATTTTAACTCATAATCAAGGAGTCTCCATTCATGGAGGGATCATTCTAATGGACAGGAGGGCTGATTGACAATTTAAAGCATACAGAAACATGAATAAACGGATTTATATAGTAGCAAATGCTATAAAAATAAAACCACATGACTTGGTAGGAACTCATTGGGAAGGACTAATTTAGACAGAGTTACCAGAGAAGGCCCCTCTGAATGAAGTTAGATTTGGGCTGAAGCCCAAAAAGAACAAAGGCTTCAAGGCTAACAGTGTGTTCTAGGAGCAGGTTTGTGGTCAGTGTGGGTCAAGTGTTCTGAGCAAGGC